GGTTGGAATTGTGATTGGTACAGGTTAGTCAGCTTGGGGCCGCAGCTCAAAAATATCAAGCTGCAACTCAAAACGCCTCAACAAATTTATCTGCTCCGGATTTGCAGAATAACTGTAACTTGTATGTCCTTTAGTACTCGGCTTGATAAAGACTGTAAATGCAGAGTCTCGTATGTTCTGGTTAGAGTCTTGGTCATACACACACACACACACACACACTCTTGTGCAATGGGAAGACAAAATCAACTTGCAGTATATTCATCTACGTCTTTTCTATTTATCAAAATTTAATTATAAGATTACATGTTTGTTTGACCAATGTTGCATGCATGGATTTCTAATAAGCTATGAATGAACTTCAGGTTTGTAGCATCGGCTCGGCAATTGGCTAAAGCCTTGGAAGTGCCATTGGTGAATGATTTGGGTTATACAAAGAGATATGTGCGGTGTCTTCAGGTAATTTCCTGCTTTTGCATCTGCTCTACCTTTTTCTATGTCCCCCAAAAGGTTGACTTGGCGGTATTTTCCCTCTAAAAAATACCAATTTCTATAATCTTCTTTAGTTCACGGCTCCATACTTAATGTACTTGCATATGTTGGTTATTATGTTAACGAGTGGCAATGGGAAAAACTAAAACATGAAGAATCGAGTTTTATAGTTGATCTCCTTTTTTTTCCTGAAGAATTTTGCTTTTGAAATGTAGTCTCCTCATGCACTATTTCCTTATTTTATCGCGGTTTTAACAGATATCTGAAGTGGTTAATAGTATGAAAGACTTGATCGATTACAGTAGAGAAACGAGGATGGGACCCATGGGTAAGTTTTGACAAGATCTACCTTGCTAAATTTATTTTATCTTCTCATTGGCTTTTTAGTTTTAAATATACTTCTAAACACTTGTAAGTACCGGTCCAGGCATCTTGGAACCGCTCTTCAGGGTTTCTCGTACCCTCCATTTTGTGTTAGTTGACCTTTTTTTTTTTGATAGAAGTTGGAGGTCTCATTAAAAACTCCCTTCGTATTCGTTCACATACTAAGAAGTATGTTAACGAACATTGGAAGGAAGAAAAGAGTACCTCAAAGTTTATTAATAATAATACCCAATACAAAAGATAACACCGGAATATCCTCCTATGGTGATATACACCATTACAACAAACACCTTAACCTCATATAACCTCATCCAAAGTCACAGTCGAATCACCTATTTCTAATTACACCTCCATCGATAGGATTAAGACAACCAAGAGAACATAATAAAAAGGGAAGCAACAACTACAACCATATAAACTAAATCAAACCACAATTGGAGAGACGAGATCTAATGGGATTCGTCTTCTTTAGGAGCCCAAGAGTTTGGCTTGAATGAAGGCTCTATCTCATGCACCATGATCTTGAAGGAGTTGTCACCAACCTTCAATTCCAACGTCGCATCAATTCTCGCACCAGCCTTTGCGAGGACTTGAATTTTTGCCCGATCAATGGATGATGGTGACTGACAGCTTTCATCGATTGCTAGCAACTGACCCCAACTATCAGCAATGTTCTTGAAAGTATCCCAATTCCATGCGTGAAACGGAACACCCTCGCAAACTAACCATACTCGGCGACACTCCAATACCAAACTCTCTGACCAAGCTTCTACTATGGAGAACCACTCTGCGAGAGTCTCTGATTTATCGTTCTTCACACTTCTCAATGAAGCAGAGTCTTCGAAAATCATTAATACCGCATTTCCAGCAGCTCTCATTAAGGAGAAGCCAGTGAGGCCCTTCGCATGCATTTGTCTAGCGAGATGACCGATTTTGATAAAGTATTTGCACCACCCCACCAGACAATTGCTCAACACCTGAAGTTTTTCTACATCTATAACGCCTTTAATTTTATATAATGATTCTTACTCGAATCATCTTCTATCCCGGACTTGCGGAGAACACCTGTCGAAGACTTTCTCCAATAGGAATGACGAGGTTTGAATTTAGCCAAAAAAAACACCAATTTTGCTATTGTCGATGTAAGAGCCATTCATTTTTGAGGTCGCTCTCCTTGCTTCTTCGATAGAAGCGAAGGAACTCCTTTTGAATTTATTTTATCTGGAATAAAAGCATCAAGTACCCGACCGTGGGAGCAAAATAAAGATCCAAACCTCTTCCAATGGATCTTTTCTAGTAAATTTTCAACAAATAACGTGTAGCATCCATACTTGTCATTACTGCACCCCTTTGTGATGGACTCCTTGGTTCCCTCGAAGACACCATCTACTACAGATTTTCCATCGCAACACCCAGTTTTACCAGACACATGAATACTAGTAGATGCTACAGAAGCTGAATTTGGCATTGGCAGTAATGGAGGAACAAGATCACATCCATACTTGTCTAAACCATCAAAAGCTGTAACTAATTCTCTTTTAACAACAAAGATTCTTCCTTGCCATTTCAATGTGCAGAAAAGACTTAAACTTAGCATCAAAAACCATTTTCTGAAGGGCATCCTTGGTAGCAACTGCAAATTCTGCATTTGAGAATAGAGCGAAACTCTTAGGCTTTTCTCCCTTGTAACTCACTTGCGAAGCTTCAAAACCTGGAAGCCATCTCAGTAGATTCTGCAGCTCTCTCTTTGACATCTTCAGGCAGACCCATAATGAAGATCGTACGAACCTCGTCATGATGAGAAGGGTGAGATGACGGAGAAGGCGCACCTGCAGAGGGCGGAGGAGCTTGGACCAAAGGTCTCTGCTGGAGAAAAAGTTCAGCACCCAGCATGAGAATATAAATTGTTTTTTCTGCACCTTCTGGAGAATCTCTTAGGCAACTGGAATTTCGAATGGTTCAATTCTTGAATGGGATGGTCCTTGAACTTCCGGAAAAACTTGGGTCTGAATTTTCCTTAAACCAGAATGAGAGTCAAGGTTAAACGCGAAGAGAGAAGGGTGGAGGTGATGAAAAGAGTCCAACAGGTAGAAACTTGAACCTGAGGAAAGATGAAAATACGTAGTTGTCTTTCAACCAAACCCTCATAAATGGATTAGATCGGGAGAACAACTTGACAGACCCATGACTTGTTCTGTTTTGACAAAACGATCGAAGACTGATTCACAGAGATTGGCAACGAGTCTGGACGCTCGTATAGAAGGGATTTATTCACGTGCACGGCGAGCCCAGTGGTAAACCGGAGAACTGGCGACAGACGGCGGAGAAAATCGGCGTTTAGATCTACGCCGATAGACTGACTTTCTCGAAAAACTAACCTCGAAAATGGAATCAGAGTGAGGAAACGAACATCCTGAGGAAAAATGGCGGTGAACGGATGACGGAGTGTGGCGGCGGACGGCAATGGTAAAGATGAAATGATGGATGAAAATAAATGCACCTTGAACCAAGAGAGAAGCTCCCGCTTCTCTCACTAGGTTTGAAATTCAAAAAAATTTTGTGTTAGTTTACCTTTAACCGGATTTCGATGGGAGTTCTATAAGCTGGTTGACTGCCAGCTTGTGTTCGCCTGATATTTTCTTATGCTTTAGAGTTTGCACTGTGAAAGGTTTCTTGGCTTTGAGCTATTAACAACCTGTCGTGTTCATTTAGCTATAAGCATTGAAAATAGTGTGGGAAATAAGAACTTTGCAAGTGTAGCTCCAGATTCATTTGTTTTCATGTTGGCTCTATGATTTCTTAGCTTGACGATCGATCTCATATATTTTGTTTATCCTCAGAGAGTTTGGCTAAGTTTCCTCGGAGAACGAGAACTTCGTCTGGTTTTCATGCTCAAGCTCAACAGCCCGAGGAACAGCTACAACAGCAGACATCACAACAGCAAATGATGGCCCAGAACTCTAATGGTGATCAAACTAATGCCCAGGCTTCCGGGATGCAAGTTGCTGCTAACAATAGTGTGGTTAATATGAATAACTCGCTTAATGTAGCATCTACATCGACATCTGCCGGTACTATTTCTGGACATCTACACCATAATTTCATGAGCTCCAGGCAGCAGAATTCTATGAATAATGCAAGCAGACCCTATGGTGGGAACTCTGCTCAGATTCCGTCCCCCGGTTCCTCCACCACAATACCGCAGACACAAGCAAATCCTTCTCCGTTTCAGTCGCCGACACCTTCCTCGTCTAATAATCCTCCTCAAGCTCCAAACGGTGCCTTAGTGGCTTCTAGTCACATGAGTTCCGCAAATTCTCCAGCAATAAACTTGCCCATGCAGCAGCCGGCTCTTTCTGGTGAGGCTGACCCCAATGATTCACAAAGCTCTGTTCAGAAAATCATTCACGAAATAATGTCTAGCCAACTTAGTAACACCAGTGGAATGGTCGGCACCGGCACTCTAGGCAATGAAGTGAAGAGCGTAAACGGGATGCTACCACCAAGCAACAACACAGTTCTGAACGGCGGCAACCCTTTGATCAGTAACGGGGCACTCAACAACAATAATTCAGTTAGTGGTGTTGGGTTTAGTTCGATGAGTGGGGGAATTGGCCAGTCAGCTATAGTGAATGGAATCAGAGCAACAATGGGAAACAACCCTGTCATGAACGGAAGGATCAGTATGGCACAGATGGCTCGGGTTCATGAGCACCACCAGCAGGTCATCGGAAACCAGCTACTGAACGGACTCGAAGCAGTTAACGGCTTTAATAATTATCAATTTGATTGGAAACCTTCCCCATGAAGAAGTATGTGCAACAAGAAGCTGATGGGTTCTTTGATTACACTATATATGATCCCTCCCACTGTGTAAACTTATAGCAGTGTTTTTATCAATGAAAAAAGCAACTTTGAAGTTGCTCAAGTTTCCTATCAATTTGTTTTCCATGATTATTTTACTTTTTACAGCACAAGCGTTGGGGATGACAGTGAAAAGGATGATACATTACAGAACATAGATCATGTCATGTTGAATGTATGATACATAAAAGAAACTGACATATAACATGGCATGAACATACCATGTAGAGTTCTTACAAGAAACTAAGGTTTTGTTTCAAAGTTCAGGGATCGATATGTTTCTCAATTTTGTCTGCAATGGTTGACTTGGACACTGCACCAATGATGCTCTCTTTCTTCTCTCCATTCTTGAAGAACAGCACGGTCGGTCCTGAATTTTGTCGGAATGCTTGGGGACTGTCGGTGTTGAGCTTGTAACAAGTAATCATCCCGGCGTACTCTTTAGCTAATTCAGCTATAACAGGATCAAGCACCTAACAAGGTCCACACCACGGCGCCTAGAAATCGACTAAAACCGGCGTCTGGCTGCGGACGACAAGCTCATCCCAGTTTGCTTCTGTCACCACCTCAACTGCAAATTGCAGATAAAAACTTTGAAACCCTGAAAAAAAAGATCAAATACATGAGCAAAACAGATGCTTACTTTGAGATGATAAAGTGGCCTTGCATACAAGCCTGGATTTTTGGGATCTACTGGTGAATGATAAAGTGGGTTTATTGGATTTGGACCCGGTAAATGTGTGCAAATGGATGTTATTAGGAGATGGAGAATGATGATGGAAGGTTTGGAGCACAGTGGGTCTTGTGTTGCAGGCTGAGCTCAGTTGGAAACAGATTTTCAGAGCCATACTTTGATAATCTAGTGTGGAAGGAAGATGTTTATTGTTTGTGGGAGGCTATTTCGAAACTTGTGCGCCTAGCTTTTGGTAAACCTTGAATGCGAGGTGCTGGAAGAGAGTATAAATTCCATATGGATAATATTTTATGATTTTAATTTGGCTTATTTAGAAAATAAGTGCACAAATAATACACTTTTCCTTAAAATGGTGTCTAAACTTTTTCTTGATACATTCAGGATCGACCGTTACAAGCATTATCATTATAGATGTCTCGGCTGTAATAGCCGTTAAATTCTGCTGTTAAAGGACACGTGTTTCTTTTATACAATTTTATTTAAATTAGAAAAGCTTAAAATTATAAATTTTAAAAGAAAAAAAACCCAAAATATTACAAAACTACAAAAAAAAAAACTTTTGAAATCTTAATTTCAATCCCTTTGCCATTGTCGGCCGTTGCCATTGCCGTCAATCGGTCGACCATCCAACGACGTGTGACTAATCGACAACTGACGACCAAAACCCCTTTATTTTCACAATCGGTCGAACATCCAACGGCGGTGCAAGTGTAATTAGAGGTTGGAGTAGGTGGTTTCGATTGTTGGGTGTTCTTTCGGGCAGTCAACGGTGGCGAAGGGATTGAAACTAGAATTTTAAAAGATTTTGGGGTTTTTTTTAATTTGAGAAAATTCTAGATTTTTTTAAAAGAATTATATTTATGTTTTTTATTTTAAATAAAAATTCTATTACAGTCCGAGTACTTACAATTATAACGTTTGTAACTTTAGACACTTGGACGGAAGGAAAAAAAACTTTGACATCTATTTGAAAATATGATATAATTCAGTTACTTATTTTCTAATAAGCCTTTTAATTTTGAGAAAATGGAAAATCATATGTTTGCCCATTTCTGTTTGTGTTTAAAATAATTCATATTTGGTTTCACTCACGTGATTTTATGGTAAGGAGAGGATAGGTTTAAGAAAATTGTATTAGAAATTTAAAGATGTAGAATTTTAAAATTTAAAGATAATAAAATTAAATAATTAATAAAATAATTAAAAAATATATAAAATGAGAACTTAAAATTCTAAAAATTGCGATCACGTTTTAGTATCCTTATCTGTCTATTTAATTTAAATATATTTTAAAAAAATATAAAATTTAATATGTATATTTTAAATTTGTGTCATCGGATTTTTACGAAAGTTTAATATTTATCTCTTCTAATTTTTGTACAATTTTACTGTCGATTGTTAAAGAGAATTTTTTTTTATTAGACTGAGGTGATTATAAGTAGGATCTTTTTTAAAGATTCTAAATCATTTGATAATAAATATCTAAATATGCAGGCGGTGGTTCTCGAATCTGGGACCTTTAGGAACAACAAACATCCCTTTAATCATTGAGGTAATTTGGTTCGTACCATTACTAAAAGAATTAAAAGAAAAACAATCATATAAAAGCTACTAATAATTAATCAAATCATAGAGAAAGAACAATAAACATAAGATAGAGAAGACAAAAGGGCTTCACAGTCACCAAAGGATCACCAAGAAACAGTTATGATACTGAAGCTTATCCAATTTGCATAAAGGCAGACATGTTTTTTATGGTGGATCTAATAGGTATAAATTCAGATATTGCAGTGCCCTTTCACAAATGTTTGAAAGAATCAAAAGGAAGAAAACTTCTCTTACATTTGCCAAATACTTGTTACTAAGGTATATGTTCCACTGAAATTATTTTCTGGAAAATAATTTCTGGAAAATAAATTATATTTTTTGAAAAATAAATTTTCCAGTGTTTAGATGAAACCGTGTAAATCATTTTCCTTTGTTTGACAATTTTTTCTGAAAATAATTTTCAAAATTAATTTTTATTAAATAAACTCGTCTTATAATCATATTTTTTTATTGATTTAATTTTATAATTATATTTTTAACCAAATTTTGTATAGGATTACCATGTTTTTAATAAAGTAAATTAAATTAAAATTAAATATCACTCATTTTTTACAATTATAAATAATATGAATAAATTATATTGATGAAGCTATACATATATTATTTTTTGTGCTTATTTATTGACAATTTATATGTAATTCTGAATTCACCTGTAGACACACTTTTTTTACCATTAATTTATAAAAAAAATTTTTTGCACCCCACGTAAGTTAAAAACAGATAAACAAAACACCCACGTACCCATTAACCCCGGTTAAATCTACGAGATAATGTGTTGGAATTATTTATTTTACGAGATAACGTTCTCCCAAGATTAATTACTGAAGTAGGGCGAATTGCACAGTGTTGGCCGTAGGTCGCCATACCTTCCGGGCGACCTACGACGTGGCAGCTTCCGACGAGGGAATGATCGTGTGCATGGGATATGCACAACCCAACCCATAGGTCGCCATGCACTCTTAGCGACCTCCTAGGTCACCATGCACTCCGGGCGACTAAGGAGGTCGCCATGCATGCCCGGCGACCAAGCTTTTAACCCTTGCACGCCCTGCATGTCATAGCTGGGAGATTCCTGCCCGACGACCAAGCTTTAACCCTATGCTCCCTCATGCATGCGTTGCATCCATAGAGCGGGACGTGCAGAAATATCACATGGCCATGCAAGGAGACAAGGTCGCCGAGCGTGCATGGCGACCTCCTTGGTCGCCCGGAGTGCATAGCGACCTATCGTTGGGAGTGCATGGCGATCTACGGCCAACACTGTGCAATTCGTCCTACTTCAACAATTAATCTTGGGAGAACGTTATCTCGTGAAATAAATAATTCCAACACATTATCTCGTAGATTTAACCCGTTAACCCCACTATCTCCACCTCACACGTCTCTCTCAGTTATATTTTCCTTCTCTATTTTCCCTCGTTCTCTCTCCTTAACAATCCATGGATCCAGAACCAATAAAGGGGGGAACATTCTTGAATTCTGGGCATGGAATTCCTCTCCTCCGCTCTCAATTCTCGCCATTTCAAGAGTATGGGGGGAATAGCTTTACATAACACATTCTCAAATCTCCACCCAAATGGCAGCCTTTCCTTTCCTTTCTTCTGAGAGATAACTTCAAAGATTTCCCAAAAACTAAAAGTTGAATTCTTTTCGTCTTTCTTCTCTCACCATGATCTCCCTGCACAGAAGCTGTTTTCTGAACAACACCGGTATTTCTGGGTCGTGAAATAGCAGCGTTTTGTTTGGGAACAACCACCCATTGAAAGAAATAAAAAATGATCCCGATTCCACTATTGCCGGCGAAGACCCTGAGCTCTCCTACGACTCACACCACCACTCTTTCAATTTCCATTTTAACTTCAAAATCAATTTGATTTTGGTTTGAGTTTTTAAATTCGTTTCTTTTCCATTTGTGTATAGAGATGATCGATGGTGGGGACCGAGGTGAGCGAATCCGAGAGCTCTTGGGGCTTTTTCCTGTCATCGTATTGACCGAGGTGCTGTGTACCTGTGACAACGAGCTGCTTCCTCGTCGCGATGCCAGCAACAGAACCGAGGCTTTGAAATTCAAACTCGTCGCCATCGCATCGATCTTGATGGTCGGTGCTCTCGGCGCGTTTCGCTCCCGATTCTCGCCAAGAAGATCACGACGTTTCGACCGGAAAACAACGTCTTCTTCCTAATCAAAGCACTCGTTGCCGGTGTAATTCTCGCCACCGCCTTTGTCCATATACTCCACGACGGATACAAGTCCTTGTCCAGCCCTTGCTTCAGCGAAAAGCCTTGGAGTGTTTTCCCTTTCTCCGGCTTTCTCACCATGGTTTCGGCCATAGCCACGATGATGATCGACACGTTCGCGACGAGTTGCTACAAGAAGTCGCATTTCAACAAGGCTTTGCCGGTGAATGGTGACGAGGAGATGATGGGGGACCATGAGGGACATGTTCATGTTCATACGCATGCCACTCATGGACATGGTCATGGATCTGCAGTGGTACCATAGGATTCTGAAATTTCCTCACCTATCCATTTCGGTGATATTAGAAGATGACAAATTAAAGGGAAAAGAAGCAAATTTTGATTTGTTATTTTGTTAAACCTTGTCCAGGCAGAGCGGAAAGTCAAAATGTAACCTCTTGAGCCTATCATCCATGCTTTGAGTATCTTGAAATATCAAACTTAATTTGATTGCTTTTCCTTTTAGCCATTTTGGTTGTTGTTATAGGTGAATCTTGATTTTTACGAGACAGCTATATTGATGCAAGCCTTGACTTGAAAGTATTCATTTTGTGTAGTATTCATTTGGTGTATTTAGAAATTTAATTGATGATTTTGTGTATTATTCATTTTGGTCCCTTTTATTTTTCAATATTTAAAATGGAGTAATTCATGCTTTATGTCCTATGTTTAGTCTTGTATTTTATTTTAGTCATTGTTTTTCGTTATTTTTTTCTTTAAACTTGATTTTATGTTTTTTCTTTGAACTTGATTTTATATTTTTTATAATTTTTTTCTTTTTTTTCATATTTATTTATTTATTTTTATTTTTGCAATCTAACATTCTTTTTGACATTTTTAGAGAAATTCCAATCAATCAAAAGGTAAGTAATTTGAATCAAGTTTTTTAAATTTAAATTTAAATTTTCGCCATAAAGACAACCGACAAATTAATTGGTATCGAAAGGGCGGTTCAAGGGTGCTAATCATTCCTTGACCGTAACCGACTCCCGAACTCGACACATTTATGGTAAAACGCAGATCAGATAAGATGGTGTCCGATCCACCTAAATGTTTTTAAAGTAATCGATGGCTGCTCTAATCCATTTTCCTAAATCAAAACCCAATTCCAGAATCCAACCGAAAAACGACCGCAATATCATCAAAAGGAAATATAACAAATATATGTAAAACATTTACATCTTACAATAACATTAAGAAAAAAAAACTTAATTTATCTACCCTAAATCTTGTAGATCATCAAACTTAATTTTACTTTCAAAACGAAATTCAAATATCGAAAATGAAAATGAACCCTAATCCAGAACA